GGAACGCCGTGCGGTCAGCGGGGCTGAGCACGGGCAGCTCGGCGCACCGCTGCCCCCCTGCCCTCTGCATGGCGAGGGCCACCCAGCCCCTCCAGTGCCCAAGGAGGTGCTGCCTGCCCGATGCCAGCAATGGTGCTCGCGTTGAGCGGGTGCAAAAACCTGCCCAGCACGGGGTTGGGTTGGCTTTGTCCTCCAAAGCTCTGGCCCTCCATCAGAGCACCACAGAGCAACTCACCGGTTACCAGCTCCCCCCAGCACACCCAGTAACACCAGTTTCCCGTTTGATCACTGCAAGGCTACACCAGTTTGTCGGCAGCCGCCCCGCTGCAGGTGGGCTCTCCCCCGGCCAAGGCTGGCCCAGGAGCAGAAGGTAGGAGACACATGGCTGAGCCAGGTCCCACCAGTGAGGACCAGCTCCCGACGAACGCTTTAGTTTCTAGTTCTGCATCTCCACTTTCCATGCATCTCCCTCTTCCTCCAGCCTGGGAAAATGCTCCGAGTTTGTCTGTGCCCGACACGCAGCTGAGAATCTGGTGAGGCTGGATTGAGCCTCAGGGTTTAGTTGTATACATGAAAGATGAGGATGGTAAGTGGTAGAAGAGATTGTTCGCAGCTCGCTGCTGGGGTGAACGGAGAGGATCATGGAAATGCTGCCATCTCCTGAGACTGGAGTCTGTTTGTAGAGCGGAATAACTTTGTAAATAGATAGACCTGTGTCGTTTATAGTATGTATTTCCTTGCTTCAGGTCTCCTGCGTGACTGCCTAAGGTGAGCTGCTCCTGGTGGGAACCATGGGAGGCTTCACGCTGGCTGAAGCGTGTTAAGGCTGAAGCTTCTCCTCCTCCAGGTTCCCACCAGCACACGCACTTCAGCAGTTGCCTCTTGATGCTCAGCTCCCGTTTCCCATCCAAGATGCCTGTAGCTTGCTCCAGTCGTAGACATTAGCATCCCTTCCAGTACAGAACATAACAACTGCTGAAGCTGTGCCCAGGACACAACCCAGGGTTGGGAAATACTCAACGGGGGGGGCAGAAAGTGCTGAAATTGAGGCTCTTTGGAATTGTTGGGCTTTTGGGCCAGTCTCTGGCCTCACAGAAACAAAACTGTGTTCGACACAGTAACGAGGGATATGCCTAACTGTGGGCATCAGTGCCAGGTGATGCAGTCTGTTCTGAACAAGGGGGCTTCTGAGTCTTGACAGTGGTCTGCAGATTTATATTCTCTCCATGCTTGGGCAATGTAAGGACCACATGCCAACACTCACCCATCCAGCAGCTCCCACACCCTCCCCTTAAGAGTACTTTTTCTGTCTCTCTTCACACTTAAAGA